TAAAGCCTCTTCGTATTTCAATAATGTTTTAGAGAATGTTTTATGTAAAATATATGTATTCACCTTTATTTGTTTTGCCTACAGCTCCGTGCTGCTGGTGAAATGTTCCGCTGTGTGTTCGGGGACAGCAGTTAGCTCGCACTGGTTAACGTTACAGATACTGCTAGAAGTCTCGGTTTGTTTGTGTTGCCGCTCGGCTCCTAGCTTTATGCGTCCCAGTTTGGAATTTAGTCGCTCTTGGGTTGAAATTATAGTTCATTAAATGTTGGACTCTTGAACTAAGTTGTAGTTCGGCTGTAACCAGCCGTCTCTGAGCAGCTCTGGGTCATAAGCGTGAGTTTTACCATGTTTGGACAGAAATGTCTATTCAGTTTAAGGGTTTTAGTAGCGTTTCGCAGCTCTCATCACCGTCGGAGCTCGAATATCCGACGTCCAACGTAAAACTACTGCGGTGCTCTCCTCGTGAGGATGGATAAGATGTTGCCGTCTTTATTGTTGCACTAACCACGGCTCTTCCTCAACATTTTTCCTCCAACCAGTGTTGCCAGATAGAGTCGAGGTTTTCGAGTAAAAAAGAAAGTTAAAAACCGCCACATCACACAAAAACCCGCCCAACCAATTCAGAAAATCCACACATCACATTTCAGGATCTGGAATATACACACAAATTAAATGTTAAATATGAATATTTCTATATTTATCACCACAGTAATAGTGTTACACACATTAGTAGTTGTAAACACTCAAAATAGTACATATGTTGGTTTAGTGCTTACCTTTAACCTAAACATTTAAGGAGTAAACATTTTTAATAATCACTTTAAAAGTTACAAATGTTGTCTTTGGTACCGGTTTGTTTTCCAGATATATTGGTGTGTGTGAATGACAGGGATGACCTTAAAACACTTTGTAGCACGGTGCTTTATGAAGTTCAATCCATCATTTCCTCCTATCAGTTGACCAGCGGTTCTGCCACATTCAATATGGTGGATGCTCCGACTACCACTGCAACAGGTCTGCCCACTCAACGAGGTGTCTACAATTCTCACCAGTTCTCTGAACGCCCTGGCAGATGTCTGTAGCCGATCAGTGAAGAAAGTTTAGGGAAGCTTTGCTATGAAATAATGACGATTGTTTGAAATGTGTTTAAGAGGTTAACTCAAAAACCACCGATCTGACTCCATATCCACCCAAATTATCCCCACCCGCCCAAAGCAATTTTTACCCGCAAAATCAGAATGAAAACCACCCAACTGGCACTGCAGTAAACCGCCCAATCTGGCAACACTGTCTCCAGCTGCTCATGTTTCAGTTAATGCAACAGTACACGTAATGTAACCGGAAATACATGCGCCTACTTTAGAGTTGGGTGACCAAATTTTGTTGCCTTTTTGTGGCAGGAGCCTGTGATTAAATGTCAGTTATGTTCTTATGGACACGTTGGCTTTGTCAGAGGTATGTCTTCTGGTCAGGTCTGGATTGTTTACGTCTTAACATCTGCATGTTGACACCACCTGAGCCCGGTTCGACCAGTTTTATGCATCAGTCCGCCTGTTTGTCTTCTGGACCTCTAATGATGAGCTGTCACTCTGCAGGATGTTCTGTGGGACAATATTAGAACAAAAACGGGAAGTGAGAGTGAAAATAAACGCTGCATAGCAGTTGCGATTTTACTTTTTTTGAGCACCCCAAAATTTTAACCGCACCCCTGGAGGGAAAAAAGTGTGTGTGTGTGTGTGTGTGTGTGGGGGGGTGTCTGAGTTTGGGTTTTGTTTATTGCATTTATGATTCAATGCAATAAAATCAACACATTTAAAAGGTAACAACATATCATTGTAAAACTTGGTTTATTTGCATAATGACTAATTGCTGGATGCCCCTGAGCTTCTGGCTTTCAGTAAATGTGGTCCCCTAAGCCGTTTAGTTGAATAGTCCTGCTTTAGAGGGTGGAATACAGTTTATTCCATTTCCAAAACTTAAATTGAGTCTGGAAAAATGTAAAAGATGATAAAGCCCTGAGGCCGACCTCATGAGCAGCTGCACACAACAGTGATAAACAGGAAGTACTGCATGTTCATATATGTGAAGGTAACTGCAAGTATGCTTAATAGTTAAATTTAAGGTTATTGCTTAAAGCCAGTTGTGCTTTGTTTTGTGTGCTTTATATGTAGATATAGCTATGTTGCAACTTCTGGTTGCACAAGTTTAATCTTTGTTATAATCAATTAACACTAAACTGATTTTGTACAAAGCAATGTGTAATGTAAAGCAGAATGCTACATCTGTAGAATCTTGGCTAGTGCATCTGTATTGAGCGCCACTAGCGTAGCGCTATGTCTTGTTGTGCCGTGTTCTCTAAAATAGTTATTGAATCATTTACTTATGTGGGTAAACATAGATGTTTAACAATCTGTTAAAATACACCAGAATGCAAGAAATTAAATCTACTTTTTTCAAATTTTTCTGGGAGAGGACCCCACCCCCATATCATGAATGCTTCTGATGCGTTGTTCGACTAAGCCCCTCCATTTGCAACTGGGTTCTAGACTTCTTAACAGACCAGTCAGTGAGGATCCACAACTTCTCCTCCTCTACCATAACCCTCAGTACTGGCTCCCCTCAGGGATGTGTGCTGAGCCCTCTCCTGTTTACTCTGCTTACATAAGATTGTGCAGCTACCCATCCAGACCATCACATTAAGTTTGCAGATGATACAGCGGTGGTGGGATGCATCACAAACAGTGATGAGTCCAGCTATGGACAGGAGGTGGAACACCTGGAGAGCTGGTGCAGAGAGAATAACCTTCACAGCAATGTGAAGAAGACAAAGGAGATGATTGTGGACTTCAAGGAACAAACTCATCTACACCCCTCTGAATATAAGAGGATCTGTGTTGGAAGTGGTCTCCAGCTACAAATACTTGGGTGTACACATGAATGACAACTTCAGCTGGAGCAACAACACCACCAGCCTGATCAAGAAAGTTCATCAGAGACATTTCCTCAGGCGGCTGAGACGAGCTGATCTGGGAAGCTCAGTCCTCACCTCCTTCTACAGGTGTGAAGTGGAGAGCATCCTGTGCTCCAGCATCAACGTGTGGCATGGAGGCTGCACAGCTGCAGAAAGAGAAGCTTTGCAGAGAGTGGTGAAGGCTGCACAGAAGTCTGCTGGAGTCAGCCTCCCCACCATCACACATCTACACCTCCAGATGAAGGAAGAGGGCCACCTGCATCATGAAGGACCCCACTCACCCAGCACACACACTTTTTGCCCCACTCCCCTCAGGAAGGAGGTTAAGGAACATTAAATGTAAAACCACTAGACTGAGGAACAGCTTCTACCCTGCAGCTGTTAGACTTGTATCTAACCAGGATCAGCACTGTGAAAAATCACATGTTGCTGCTGATCTGTTTCATGTTGCTGCTGATCTGTTTCATGTTGCTGTGTTCATGCCTGCTCATCCACTCACACAGACTTATGCTCATGTTCGTGCTGCTGTTCGACATAATGTTTTTATGCTACTAGTGCTTCGTGTATTATTTAGCTGATGTTTTTCTTAGTTCATATCTTAAATCTTTTTACTGTTTTTGTTTTACATTTTATTGTTGGATGTAATTGGGACCCTGTGTACATAATTTTGTTCCACCACATGTACCACATGAGGTGCCAAGGACAAATGAATCTCGCTGACTATGACTGACTCTGATTGTCAGCACTGGGAGCTGAGCACCTCTAAAGGGCAGATTTAGAATCGCCCCTGCTGCATAGATTGTAGCAGTTTGTCCCATTCAACGTTTTTATTATTATTTTTTTTTTTTACAGAGAGTTCATTTCTAATAAATTAATTGAGTTTGTATTTCTGAATTTCTGATATAAGCAAATTTTAATCTTCAAAAACATATTTAATGGTTAATCTTTTTTTCTTTTTTACTGTGACTGTACTTTGCCAAGTCCAGCTTGTGAACGGAAGTTGCAAAGTAATCAGTCAAAATTAAGTATTTTTATTGAAATTTTTTTATGCATCAGAGCATAATTATAAAGAACTGGTTCTCATACGGCCTTCATTTTAGTTATAAGTGTAGATAATCTTGTACAGCTGACTAAAACACAATGATTACTGATCAGCATCGGTGTGACTTCCTCTATAAAAGCAGGAGTTTGAACAGTTTGCTCTTGTTAAAATATATCTATATATATGAAATATATCAGCAAAGACCTTAGAGAAGTAGGCGTTGCTGCCCTTTGATCTAGAGATGCACAGATTCGATACCATCATCAGTATCTGTACCGATATCGAAAAACTTCTGGGTTGGTTTGGGTATCGGTGACAATGTGACCGATCCATGACTGAGCAGATCTATTCACTCTAACTCTATGCTTTGTGCTCCGAGTGATGTCGCGTGCTAGCGTACTGACTGAACAAATTAAAGTTGTGTTGTTTTTACATGTTTGACCAAGCTTGCGAAGCTCTTGGTGTGTTTAATGTGCTGCTATGGTGCAGAGTTTTCAATAAATTTGTAATTCAGTACATTCATGTCTGCGTTTAAAAATAAATGTTTTAAGTTAATTCAGCTCTGGGGTTTGTAAGCTCAAACATCCAGGTAGACGACAAAAATGTCTAAATCATGTCATCTGGACTTGTTTCAGAAACGGGTCCAGATGACATGATTTAGCCATTTTCGTTAATTCAGCACTGTTTTTCTGGATCAGACTGGCATCGGATCGGTATCGGCCAACACAAAACGACAGATATCGGTATCAAATCGGAAGTGAGAAAAAGAAAAAGTGGCTCGTGCATCATTCCCTACTTTGATCTAGGAAGAATTAGAGGTAATTTTCAAACTGTAGTTCCTTATTCTACAATTAAACAAATTAGTCACAAGTGGAAAACGTTTAACACAGCTGAAATTTTTGGCGTTCCTCTCCCCAAGGTCTCCTAATGCTAAAGAGAAGAAAACAAAAAACAGTAGATGAGTTAGAGCTTCATTGCAGACCCTGCAGGTCTGTTAGCAGGTTAAAGTTCATGACAGCACAGTTTTAAAAAGACGAGGAGAGCTTGATTGCAGGAGAAAGTTTATTTTAGACTAAAGCAAAGGTGTTACCTATAATGCACGTGCCACATTAGTTCAAAACTAAACGCAGTATATACAGCATTACTGACAGATCATACCAGTTGTCAAGCATGGAGGTGGAGTGCTGATGGTTTGAGCTTATTTTGCAGTCAAAATCATTGTGAGCCAAAATAACTCTATCGTGATGTCAGAAACTGGTAAGGTCATACAGAAAATGCTGCTGAAGGTGGTTTAGAGCTGTCTGGTTATTTACTAAGGTACTTAAATTATATTGAGATCCTGAAAAAATCAGTGTTTTTTTGTAAAAGCATAGGAGGATTGACTGACTTATGCTTTTCCTTTTTCCTCTAATTTTTGCCTATTTTATTTTTTGCCTGTTTTCATTTATTATTATTTTTACTTTTGTGTTAATAAATCATCTTATCGTTTGTTTTTGCAGCGGAGAACCTTTGGCCCTACCCAAGGTGCAGTGTCCAAACCACCCTGATGCCATTCTGGTGGAGGACTACAGAGCAGGAGACATGATTTGTCCTGAATGTGGCCTTGTTGTAGGTGAGACAAAAAAAATCACATTTACACGTTTGCGTCTCACGTCTGTTGATGAACGTGTTTTCTTTAGTTCCCCATTTGTGTGATGTTGACCCCATCCAGATGGACTGATGGTGTCACTGACTGGTCACACATCACGCTGTAGTACGAGTACTGAAGGATTGT